GCTGTGGGATCCAGATGTTCTTCTATTTAACACTTGGGGGAGCAGAAGTCTTCCTTTTGGGAGCCATGTCCTATGACAGGTATGTGGCCATTTGTCACCCTCTCTGCTATCACATCTTCATGAACCATAGAGTTTGCATACTCCTTGCAACTGTCTGTTGGTTTTTGGGCTCCATTGATGGTTTCATGCTCACCCCTATAACCATGAGCTTCTTATTTTGTAAATCCCGAGAGATCCAGCACTTCTTCTGCGAAGTTCTCGCCTTGTTGAAAATCTCCTGCTCAGACACCTCTCTCTATGAGAGTGTCATGTACGTGTGCTGTGTCCTTATGCTCCTCATCCCTCTCACAGTTATTTTAAGTTCTTACTCCTTTATCCTCCTCACAGTCTATATGATGAATTCGGCTACTGGTCGTAGGAAAGCATTTGTCACATGTTCTTCCCATGTAAGTTTTGTTATTCTCTTTTATGGAGCTGCTGTTTATAACTACATGTTCCCTGCCTCTTATCATACTGTTGAAAAGGATATGATGGTGTCTGTCTTCTACAATATCCTAACACCTGTTATAAATCCTCTCATCTACAGTATCCGGAATAAAGAGGTCACAGTAGCTTTGAAGAAAATATTATGGTCAAAGCTGATTTTAGCTTATTTTCAGAAGTAGAACATGGTCTCCAAATACTTAAAAACACTCTACATTCTTTTATTATCTATCATTGGTTCATTCAATTCATGTTGCCTTGTGATAAATAGGCATCTCCTTCCTTCCCTTCTCCTTCTAAATCAATTTCTTCTTCTCGAGAGTTTTTGAAACCTTTTGGGGTAATCTTTTCCTAGTTTAGTATAAAAATCCTTGACATTTACGCCAGATTATAAGGATTTGATTTCTCTACCCGTAACCTGTTAGCTAGGTTACCTTGAAGAAATGACTGAAAGTCTCTGAGACTTGGTTAACTTTTCTGTCTAATGTAGTGTTAACGAAATAGTTATGAAATATCTAAAAGGTAAATGGGTCCAGTATGGATTTATCAAAATTTTTTTTTACTAAACTTGCTTCAGAGTATGCAATCTTCAGGATCTTCTCTGATATCTCAAGGTAGAGCACAAGCTGTAGGTGTGATGCTGGTGAGCAGATGTGCCACTTGCTGCTGCTGCTTGTCAGATCTTCCAAAGTTCTCTCTCTGGGTTTGGTTTGGTTTGGTTTGGTTTTTAAGTATTTTTCCTCAGTAAATTAAATTTGTTTTAAGTGTATTGCACTATAACTCTTTGTGCTTGCATGTTGAGTTAATCACTTTCTTTCTTCACTAATACTGATTACTCACTAATCACATTTAACCTCTTAGCTGGTTTATTCAATAAATAAACAAAATAACTTGTTAGAACCCTTTGTGCCCTCCTCCAGTCTAAGATGATAGTAATTTATTTTATAATCATTCTCAAGGTAAGTCTAGTGTTTGAAATGGGCAGTTTGTGGAGGCTGAGATACAATAATAATTTGAGGCTTCCTGTTATAGTTTCCTGTGGATATAACAGTCACCCAACGTGTAAGTGCACTGTTGAATACATGTCAAGGCTGAGTTTCTCAAAAGACCAATCATGAATTTATTCATGAGGTCAGTCATAGTGTGTCCCAAATCTTCAGGTCTAGAGTGAAGGATGGTATTTGCTGATAAGTAATATCAGAAGCATGGCCTTTGTCTAAATAAGAACAATTCCCTTCAGAATGCACCATACTGAAGATGTATTGCTACAAAGAAAATTCTCACAGAAGATCATGGCTGCCTGGCTTCTGCAGTTGAGTATCTTATAAGAAAACACCCAACAAAGAGTAGGAGAGACCTCAGAGGCACCTACCTTCTCTGTTATCCTTGTATCTAGTCAGCTATGTCATATCCTTCAATAAATTTCAGTGGGATAAACAAGTTATATGTTTGGCTCTGTTTTTACTTTTAGCCTCTGAAAATTTCCCTTTGAACCCTTAGCAATTGGTGATGATGATGTGAGTGAAATCCGAGTTTGACAATGGGAATTCCTTCCTTGACTCTTAATCTGCCTTTAAAATACGTGGATTATAGTAGATCTCAGGCCAAGGTTATTAGACATCTATCATCTTTAAAGGAAGAAAACCTATTAATTTTCTATTTAAACAATGAATTAGGGATTTTTGCAGAATTGGGACTGTGATTTTAAAAAGAACTCTATACTTACTTTAATTACATCCTTTTAGATATCACAGATACTAGGAATGCTTCTATTTGAGCAATCTTATCAAGATGGATGTCCTGATCCCCTGAGAAAGGGGTTAAACTATTAACAATCAAATGGGACACAGGACTGCTGATTGTCTTAAACCTAATTTCGGAAATTTCCTTATCAGACATGTGAAGGTACTCTTAGTGCCCAGGTTAGGTAACCTTAGGACCTTAAAAAAAAGCATATTCAGACCTTGGTAGGAAAGAATCTAATATTTATTTAAATAAAATAACCCTGTGGAGAAGTAGTAATGATAAGTAGGAAATGCACAATATTAGATTAGGAAACTAAAAAGTAAACTATATTAGACAGTGTTGTGAATAATTTGGTTTATAAGTGACTGTGTGAAACACAACTTAAGTTAAAAAAATCAAGCTTTTGACTTTGTGGATATGAGAGGAGGTGAAAAAATGGATAGCAAGGGTGGGTGATGAAGAGGAAGCTGGTTAGAGAAACCAGAAGCTAAGACAATAGTAGGAAAGACAGGATGGTGCCTTGGTATACCAGGACAGACAGAAAGATAGGTAGACATGATCAGAGCATGGGGAGCTTCCAGTCATTAGTGAGCTTTCCACTAGCAGAGAATTCAGACAACTGATGAAACCACTTTTTCTTTCCCCTCCCTTTTTGTCTTAGATGACAGAGGTTTCTGTTCTTTACAGTAATTTTCTATTATAAGTAATAGTTTTACAATCTAGTTCACCATAGAGAGGATACCACTAATTTTAACAGTTTTTTATTTGTGTGTGTCCTTAATTGTGAACCAGGGAGCAGGAAGGAGGAATAGTGTTTGGTCTTAGTATATAGAGATTTAGAAAGGATCAAGCTTCAAGTTGTAGTCTAAAGGTAGCAGGTCCTCTGTTGGCTTGAGATAGAAGCAAAATGAGAGATAATTTTAGGGTTCTGAGGTATTCATTTTGGCTAAATTCTGTAATGGGAGGACCAGCCAATGAGGGCCCAGGCTTTAGAGCATGAACAGCATCTTCTTCCTGCTGAGAGTCATTGTACAGGCAGGGTGAGCCTGCTTCTAAACCGGGTGCTGGAGAGGCCCTGTGCCTCTATGCTTCAGAGAAGTCACAGGTACCCTATGACTGTTTCCTGTTGGCTTTTTGTGAGGTGACAAAAAATCTTCTAACTGGTTCCTGAATTAGAACTTTGTATAAAAAAGGCTCAAAGAGATTAACGATGAAGGAGATGGTTTTAGGAAAAACAAAACCTAGGAAGATTTAAATGAACTGATGCAAAGTGAAATGAGCAAAAGCAGGAGAACGATTTACACAGAAACAACAATGTTGCAAAGATAATCAATGCTGAAAGACTTACTAAATGTCATCAGTGCAACAATCCACCACAATTCCAAATAATTCATGATGAAAAATGTGATCCACCTCCAGAACTGATTGGCTCAGAATGCACATTGAAGCATATTTTCTCTTTCTCTTCCTTCCTTCTTTCTTTCCTTAGATCCTTTTTTCCTCATTCTTATTCTTGTTCTTCCTCTCATGACTAATGTGGAAATATGTTTTACATGACTTCAGATTTTTAATGGAACTGAATATAAAACAACCCTGAATTAAAAAAAGGTTTGTTGAAGGTGGTATTTTAGCTGAGATTTGAAGGAAACCAGGAGGTAGAGGTGAGGAAGGAGAGAATTCGAGGAATGGAGGAAGTCAGTCTAAATATATGGAATTGGGAGATGGAGTACTATATACAAAGAACAGTAAGGAATCCAGAATCACTAAATTATAGTTTATGGATGGAAGTAAGGTATAAGAAGACTAAAAAAGATAGGAAAGAATTAGGTTATGAAGGATTCTAAGAGAGAAAATGAAGATTTTATAGTTGATCCTGGAAATAATAAGGGGTCACTGAAATTTATTGTATGTGAGGTAATATAGTGAGACTTGCACGTGTTGAAGATCACTTTGATAGCTGAGTGGACTATGAACCACGTTGGAAGAAACTTGAGGCTCAGAAGTTAACCAGAAGGCTATTGAACTAGTCCAGGTGTATGGTGATGACAGCTTGCACCAAGCTAGTATCAGTGGTCAGAAAAGGAAAGGGAGGCATATATGTGATGTATTGAAAGGAAAAAATGGATAGGAGTTGGCAATTGATTAGATATTGGAAGTGAGAAAGTGTGAGGAGTTGAGGATGACACTTAGGTTTTATTCATGAGCAATTGGATGGATTATAGTGCCCTCAAAAGTAATAGGAAGGTTAGGAAGAATAAGAGTTTGGGGAAAAGATAATGACTTCTGCTTGGAAGATCTGGTTTGAAATGTCACATTGGTAGTTAGAGATGCAAAACTGCATGTCAGGAGAAAAATTAGCACTCAGTAAGTAGATCAGAGAATCATTAGTATGACAAATTCCTCAGAAATGATGAGATTACTAAATGAAATAGTATAGAAGGAGATGAGAAGAGTGCCCCAGAGAGAGTGCCTGGGGACACCTACAATTGGTGGATGTTATCTAGACTGGGAAAGAGCAGTTAGACAGGCAGAGAACCAGAGGAGAGTAGGGACTTAAAAACTTAAGAGAGCAGTGAGTATCAAGGAGAAAAAGGTGATTAATAGGGTCAAAGGCTGCAGAAATGGCATGAAGGATGAGGATTAATTAAAAACTAGTAGAATTGTCAATTAAGGGATCATTAAAAATTTTGGTGTGAGTAGTTTTTAGTTGAACAGTAAGGCCATGATGAAATAACATTAATATTTACTATGTATTCATTCAATGACAAAGCATCTAAGTACTTAAATGTTTAATAAAAATACAAGGAGAAATGGACAGTAAGACAATAGTCAAGGATTTCAATGTACCAGCTTAAATGCCAGGGAAATCTAACAAAAATATGAACAATAAAAACTTTAGGATTTAGAAAACTGAAAAATACAGTCTTTGAGAATTTCTCTTTTGCCCCTTGCCCCCTTTACAAGAAATGACCATGTGTTAGTGCAGAAATGACTTCTCAAATGGATGTGGAAAAACAGGATTAAAGATATCATTTCCTGAACAAAATGCAATAAAATCATATTTAAGAAACCACTTTTAAAGAGAATCTTTTTTTCCTAAATAAAAATTAATTAATTAGTTAGATTCCAAGTAATTTAATCCTGAAGAATATGACAAAGAATAAATCACACAAACAGTATATAATTTTATTTAAAAATGACAACAGTGAGACAACATACCAAAATTACTGGGATGAGGCAAAAGCAGTCCTGAGGGGAAAATCTTTGTCTTTTAACAGTTGAAAGAGAGAGAGAAAGAGAGACAGAGAGAGAGAGAGAGAGAGAGAGAGAGAGAGAGAGACAGAGAAAGAAAGAGAGAGAGAGAGAGAGAGGGGGGGAGAGAGAGAGAGAGAGAGAGAATGGATTAATGAATTGGGCATGGAACTAAAAATAACTA